GCGCATTGGACGGCTTCAGTTTGGAGACCAATCATCGAGGTTTCCTTCAGATACGCATCAAAAGAGAACAGAAGGTGGTGTTCGACCACTTTCATTGGACTGTCTGTCGCTTATGCTTTGGGCTTCTAACCGGTGTCCCATTCGTTTACGTCCCATAACCAATGAGAGTGTCAACGATGCCAAAACAGCGTTCTTAGCCTCGCTAACTTGAAAGTACTGCACGCGATTTCGATAATGTGCCACGCTAAAAGCTTGGTACAATGCACCAACATGCGTATAAAATGGGATAGTAGTTTCAAGCCTACCTACGTATTTAACCGGTCCACCGCTTCCAGTGGCTGTTCGGTGATAACTAGAAGCGGAGGTGTGCCGGTCCAGCCCTGCAAGGTGCAGAGCTACGCGTCAGTCTATCCAGTAGTGTTTGCATAACTGCTGCTTCAGACCCAATGAGAGCTATTTCGTCAGCATAATCAAAGGGTGTCTATTCCATAATAATCCAAAGGAACTGAGTCATTCACGATCATTTCAATAACAAAGTTGAAAAGGAAAGGAGATATAGGACTATCCTGGGGAACGCCATTTTTCATGAGAAACTCAAGTGACAGTTTCCCTAGACCCTTACGCAGCCTCGGGAGTCTCAATAGATAGACTTCAGAATGTAATTTGCCACAGGTAGGCGCGGTCAGCAGAGTCGTAGGTTGCTTTCAAATCAAGGAAAATCACCATTGTTTGTCGGCTGTGAGTGTGCCGCTGCTCTATAACTTAACGAATAGTAAACATTTGAACACTGCACCCTCAACCACGGCGGAGTTCAGCCTGACCTTCAATGTTTCGGCTCTCATGAGGACCAATAAGTCATCGACGAGATTTTCGCATGAAGCACGAAGTCCGTCGAATTTTATGGACATGGGCATGCACCGCAAATGGAATACTCGATGTCGAAGCGAGCGACGTTCGGTCTAAAGCAGCTCTATATGCCTACATGTTACGCTGATTCGTCGCCACCCGCTTTAGTTATGAAAACTCACGGTACTTCTCAACTCTACTTCCAACGTCACATCTCTAATCAACGCACACTTTCCTGGCACAGGTAGTCTTCAAAATATGCTTGTTTTTCGTGCCACCGGCATTGTCTGTTGGCATGGCTGGTTTAATCAAACCTACCTTTTTCGCTTTTCTATCCTATCCAAATATGTTACAATGGCAATAGTCCTACTAAGGTTCTATTATCATATAGGTCACTGTTAATGGATTTCACACTGGTGAAGCCTGGCACTTAGCGTGCAAGCATTTTGACTAAGTGAATTTTGAAACAAACTGTGGTGTTAAACACGTGGGAAAACTTTACTTTATACTACACACAAGTTGAACACGTTCCTAGACCGAAGGCAATTTCACAGGCAGCTACCCAAACCCTAGAGGACAAGACCAAAAGACTAGCCTTTCGTGTAGGCACTTTTACCGGCGAGGCTCAAGACGCTTACAGCGCACTCCAGCGTTTCTTTTATACCTCGATGGTGCCAATGGTTTGCCTATGCAAACCCTGGAAGCAACTGAATTAGTACTATGCAAATATACTAACGGAACATGTTGAAAAGTGAAGGTTGGTAGATGCAGAGGCTGGACTAGAAAACTAAATGTTTCTTAGATAAAAAAGCCTGAATGTTTTAAACTTGCGGAGGTTGGTCGGAAACTGGAATGTTTTCTGTGGTACAAAGGCCAATCGAAAGGTGAATGTCTCACGAGTTGGAAAACTGCTCGAAATATTTACACTTCTCTGAATCGATTTTCATTGTCTTCCGTAGTTTAAGCTTGTAATCATTATGGGGACTTTGGGTCCCCAAAACAAAAAAGGTATGGGTAACATGTAAGATGTGAAAGCGAAGATTTGGTACTGTCCTCCAAGGGCATCTTTGGATCTGTTGTGCACTGATTTTCTTACAGTTTGTGATGAGATGACCACGCCATCGGATGATGCACATCATTCCAGGAATCAACCGCTCTAAGTGACAGTCGTCGAAGGTCGGTGTAAGCAAACCCCATCATCAGAGTTGCAGCTGGAAGCGAACGATCGACGGCCTAGTAGCGAAGATGCCGGAGAGGAACGATAGTCACACAGCTGTAGAGGTGGTGTGGAGAGCAAGTTCACCTCGATAGTCGCATGGACGATCCGACCTCAGTAGCGCGTAGCCAGGTAGAAATGGTTCACTATTCATGACTCCCGAGGACAACCACGTTTCTGTGAAAGCAACAACATCTGGATGCGACTGATTCACAAGAACGCCAACTTCGTACATCTTGTTACACAGGATACGCACATTACCGAATACTGCTTGAGGGCAATTCGTATGGCGAGTTCACGACCGTACGTCATCAGAACGGGCTCTGGAAAGACAGAAATGGACCGCCGGCTCACTAACCGCAGACCACTTTCACTCGCCTCGCGACATGCCCTTAGGTATTTGATGGGTACCGTTAGTCTTAAGGATCACAAGTCTGCCTTGTAATTAGTGGGCGCTGCTTCGAGCCTGCGTAGGAGCAGGGCGACCGTGGCAGTATCCTTAGCCCACTGTGATTAGTGGTGATTGCAGGGCAGCGAAGCGTCGATGCTGCGCACCGGTGTATTGCTGTTGCCTTTTTTCTACAGCTTACACTATTTCCGGTCTTGTTCGTCATTTTACGTATATTCACCTGCACTCGCCTGCACTCGCAAATGGTCCTTGAATGACGCGCTACTACCTTCATGGCAACACCCACACACTTCATCTCCGGCATAAACCCAGAGGAATGGGACCAGGAGGTGCGCTAGTGTGAGGCAATGCTGCTTAGTGTCCAGGTGACACTCGTTTAACGCCAACTGAAAGATGAAACTTCGTCGCCTTAGTTCACTAACACTGCTTATTTCTGCATGATGAGCCGGTACTATGGGAGAAACGGGTAATCCGAACAGTGACAAGTTAGCTACAGGCCAAGCCGCCGTCAAAACACAGGGAGAATGCCGGAATCCTGCAGACGACCTTGTGCCATGAAGACACTTATGAAGTCTGTGTACAACAGCGCAGCACGCAGCTTCGAGGAAGACGTTTTCAGATGACTGAAGCCATATTTGGTTTAATCACTGGTTGCTCGTTCCAACAAAATAAACTCTTCGTGCGTTCTGGCGCATCGCAACATTACCACATGGTCATCACAGCACCTATTTACCGTCGACAGACTAACCATCACGAATGCACGCATCGGTCTCTACTGTTCACTCACTCATTACAAGTAGCTAGAGTAAGCACTCATATCATCGGGCTTACCTAAAACGGGTTTGCTTGTAAATGGAAATGCTTTTTGCGGCTACCGTTGCTGCGAAGCTGCTCACCCATAAACCATTTGCTGTCTTCTGAAGTAATTGCTGTAGGTGATGCAACCGAACGGGTATTCCCAACAAACGCACTCCTAACACGTGCAAGCCAGGGGCTCAGCAACAACGCTCACTCACCCGCACAAGTTTGCTTCTGCCACTTGCAACCTCAAGCACACTACTTTATATCTATCTGTTTCGCCTTACATATACAACGTAACTATCAAACCGATGATCAGATTTGCGTTTCACTCGTCACTACCGGACTGAGGTTAAGTGGGAGTCATCAGAACACTAATTGTGTCGGGTGTGACCTTGGTGACTGTTGACAACTTAACTTGGCGTATGGAATTAAGTGGACGATGAATGAGGACACCGCATGCTTCCGGTATTACTCTATCTGGATAACCTGATATAATGGGTACTCTGTGTGAATTGTAACCAAATCTACCAATAAGGATCCTCCTTTACCCATCAACTAATTCATGCATATTTTTGTTTCCTAATCCTATCATTTGGGACTCATTTGCGCACGACTACATCATCTCAATGTAGAATGCATCATGATCTCTGTTCGCGCTACCGTGGCTGTTTGATATATCATGCTCACATGTCGATGTGATGTACTTTTGTCTGGGTTCTTATTTATCGCAGCCCGTTTTACCATCGACCTAATCCATCTACCCACTTTGAGTTCACACGGCAATTATTGTGGCGCACTGTGCTCGTAAACCATTTTTCATATTTGAAAACACTACTGTAGAACCACGTTCTCCGATCTACACCACATCGATCTCGATTCACATGGTTTTGAAAAATAAATCACGAGTGAGGTCAAGCCCCTTGTGTTTAATATTCACAATCAGTGATACTTATGTTTAGGACCTATTATTACCGAACAACTGTTTTCCGCACGTTTACTATCTCTGATGAACATTGGTACCATCGTTCATCACCCAGGCTTTCCGATAATAACTTTGGAAGTGTGACACGATCCCGATATTCCTGAATTTATACTCTGCACGCGAACATTGTTATACACTAAATTTCAACTCAACCTGGAGCCACTAACGTCCATTGAGTTCTCACTCGTTATTTCCTGCGTCTCCTGATCAATTGTCTAAGGTCCTTCTTTAATCTTTGATCGTCGCTTTCGGCGAATCATTTTTTGACCCGCAATGTCTCCGGTGCCTTTAACGGTTCCATAAAGCACTCTTTTCAGCTATCTGCTACACTGCTTCAGACTATCATCTTTTGAATAGTTGTTGTCCCAGAGTTGTTTTTCACAACTTATTCGCCACATCTCACTCCCATGATTTGACCTGCCTGTCTGTTGACTTATGCGTTTTGTATCTCATTGAAATGCTCCATCACCTATATTCACTAATTTTCCGCTTCGAATGCTTGCAGTAACACCCATCGATCTGCCGATTCACATATACCAGCTGATAGTGTTAATGCTACCTCGGGTCAACCAATCACAAAATGCCTTAATTTTGCGTACTCATTCGCACAAAAGGTTTCATTTAACTACAACCCAACAGTAGTTAGTTCGGTTTGCTATCCTACCTCAGTGTTTGGAGTTTTACCGCATTTAATACTTTTGGTTCTTTTACAACTGGCCAATGACCGTGCTGCTGCATATTTACAGACCGACAAGGACATCATCTTGCGTGATGAACTCGAAGATCTCCAGTCAAAGCATCCACAGCGATTCCGTGTGTGGTACACGATCACTGAGGCACCTGAGAGTAAGTCCCATTTCTTTGATGCTTTGTGCCTCACATGCACTTTCTTACCGTCTCATCTTTGTGCCCCCGCCCGTCTATCGTAGTCACAACGATGTGTTCAGTTCTTCTCTTGGTCCATTGAATGAACAAATAAATATGTGCTTTACTTCAATGCGGCACATCTGTTTCAAAGTGTCTGACGGTGCAATACGTAAAAGCAATGTTGCAACTGAATGGTAATTAAAAAATGTTATTTGAGGAGGGGGCCGAGACGTAAGTGCGTTGATAACAAATATACATGAAATGTCCTACGTACATTGCATTCACTTGACAATGCGCTCCTGAAGAAGTGTATTAGAAAAAGGATACATTGTTGCCAGAACTCCCTTCACTCTTCTTCACCCGACCCACTTCCCTCTATATGCGGGAAAGCATAACTTAACAAGTGTGAGCTGCAGAGAAATTGCGAACTGGGATTCAGATAACCATTTTTGTCTCCATTCCTTCATTTTCTGCCTACTCAGCCACGCCTACCTTGCAGCCATACCAAAAAATGTGAGCTGATAAGGAAACGCTGACTGAATCTATCCATCTTCATTCGCTTTTACTATTCGTTCTTCTCTTACTCGTATATGCTTGACATGTTGTTCTCATGTAAACATATCAGGCATCACGGTGAAGCTAACCGATTCTGCTTCCAACGTCTTCCTTCTCGTGGTGCCAGCTTGGTGGTTCGGGTTTAACCCGTTCCAGCAAATAGTTCAGCGGTAGTATTCCGGGACTTGTTGGCTTTTCGCCTGGCAAGCGTTTTCCCTATAAAAGCCACAAATGTCTGTGACGTGGCGGTCGTGATTCACCCCGTGGATATCCGGATAATTTTTTCCAACCCACAGACACCAATCTTCTACTTTCACATTGCCGACGATATCAAACATTCAAGAATGGAGCAGCACAATTGCAATCACAAACTGGTTGGTGGCATCCGGTTTCGGATTTGCCTGTCACTGTGGCCAGCCACCGGACGCCTGCGCCTACAGAGGGACTATGGGTGGCTTGCGCTGCACCACCCACAGCTCCAACCACACCCGCAGGAATAAGACCGGGAAGCATGTGGATGGGAGCCACGTTTAATCAACGGAGCCGGCCCACACTCCTTCACAGGCAAACACAGGCACGCTGTATTTGGTGAAACAAGCGCACACAAGGCGGTGGTTGGACCGTAGTCCGCTCCACACTGAGTGCATGGAGCCACTTTTCGAGCCTAGCACGACCACAAGGACCGTGCACCCCGTCCCCTCCAGCAACGACCAACTGTCTCCTGGAGCCAGTATGGATGAGTAGTGGGTAATAGACAGGTTGGCACGTTGTTAACATGCACATCAAGCGCAATCACACCTGGGATGTCAAACAAAAAGCAATCACTTGAAATGACATTATCAACTAAAATATATCTGTTAAAGTATACGGCTATGCAGACATAACTATTTTCTAAATTAGCATATGAAGTAACTTGATTATCAACGAATCCGCGATAAGTACAAAATGTCAAAAAGTTACTCAAAATATGCTACAAACAATAAGCAAAGTGGCCAGTTAATAGAAGATTACTCAGGTAGGCAGAACAAACCAAATAAAGTGGAATGAAATTTATCCAACTTAAAAAGACCTGGTTTAAGTGTAAGTTGGTTTAGCCCAACTGCGGTGAAGAAGCGCGAAGAATGCAACATCATCCTCAGCATGGGACACGTCAGGCAAACGCAAACTACACAGCTGCATACATACACAATTACATACTTACATATCCCTCAAAACAAACATTCACTGTTTAGACCAACATATCTGATTATTGCACATTCTTGTTCACGGATTGTTAGGCCAGAATGATCATGCCTGTAAAGGCATGCATCGCCTTGTCCAGAATAAAAGCTTTTTTATTTATTTATTTCAAAAAGCTCTTGTTCTTACTCGCCAACGCTTAGCGTATAGTTATATCAAAATACCTGTGCCAGTGACAATTCCAATCATGTTCACCTCACATCAAACAGATAAATCTCCCATTCTATCTGTCTCGGTCCATGTGTACAGCTGCTGAAATGAAAGTAAACAAATAGCCCTGTCTTCCACCGATCTCTTTTGAACGCCACAATGTATAGTAAATGATTTGCCTACGTCCGATGCTCTGTTTAAATGTTATGCTTTCAGCTTTCTCCTATCATCAAAGTTGTTTTTCATCCTTTTCCCAATGAAATGAAAGCTCGATTTCGTCCGTATAAGGAGACCTCCGTCAGGACGCCATGATATATTCTGTGCCCAAACAAGGCTTTGAACTACAAAACCCTGGTGGATAAAAATTTTTTTTGATTTCTGCCTGACATATGAAATATGCTGTTAAACTATACGAAACAATTGTAACCATATGATCATGCCGAACCGGGCATGTTACGGAAAACCCAAGATACACATTAGTAGTAGTAGTAGTAGTAATAGTAATACAAACCAACACAACCCCGGTGATGGAGCGTAGTGTGGTGAATCGGCGACATTTAACTAATCTTTACACCAATACTTCCGTACTTCTTAGGTGTACTGGTTACACTACTTACTAGCCGTGTTCAATAGCATACGTTAAGTTGTATCTACGGCTATTATTTGCTACACTGGATCTCCCATGGCTGCCGCAGGACCTAATTAACCTCTCAGATGCAGCCTTTGATTAGTCTTTCCCCACATTTGGTTATTGCCTGTCATCTTTACGATTTTTTTCTGAACCGTTCTACTTCACCATGATTAACTGCGAGCATTTGCCAGTTTATTTATCATTGTTGCATCAATACACATGCCATTTTCTCCTTTCTTCGTATACTCACTTCGATTTCATCCCAATCACTGTGATCTATTCTGTACCCTGTCCTCGCTATGCACAGACTGGACCTATAGCACCGGCTATATATCTGAGCAGATTCTGTCGGAGCATATCTATCCACCTGGTGATGACTCCCTGGTGCTTTTGTGTGGTCCAACACCCATGGTTGAATTTGCCTGTTATCCAAGCCTGGCCAAGCTGAGTTATCCCCGTGATAGAATTTTCGCCTATTGATTGGATTTCCCAGATTGATTTTCAATCTTCTGGAAAATGCCCTGTCGTTCATCTTTTCCACATTGCCATCTGCCTTAGTTATTTCTTGCACTTCTGCTTCCATTACCTAGACGCAAGCAAGATGTTACTTACTGATTTTTACTCCGATATTTCGATTATTATGCTTTCCTGATTGCCTGTTTTACTGTGAAACTTCATTCAGGTCTTTCTCCATCGCCATACACACATTCGCTTGTCTCCCACTGACGAGTCATCAAGTTCATACGCCCTCCTCTGGTTGATATCACCCCACTTTTTCTTTACAAATGCAATTCTTGGTGGTAGCCAATCACTGTCGTTCTCTTTTACTAATCGATCCCTTGCATAGCTACACTTCGTGGTTCGATCGCTCTCCGAGCTCGGGTGTATGTCACACAAAGAGTTCCCAGTCGGTTCTCTTTGTAATACTCAACCGGCTAGCCTTTCGCGATAAGCTACTGTGGAGCCGACGTTTCCGTCGGTAGCATCTTCATTACTTTGCTCCAATCACGTTGTCTGGTGTGCTCACGTGTGTGTGATGCACCTGTGTCTGTTGAACTAGGAGCTCGTTTCGTCGCAAAATACTACCGACCGTTGTAATATTCTACTCGTGTATTGTTCTGCTTATTATTGTTCGCTTTGCGTTGAACTTTTGCTACGTAGTCTCGATTGGAATCGTGATAAGGGAAACCTCCGCCAATACGGTCATTTACATCGCACCCGAAGTGGGAAGAGTTTCTGTGTTGCCCGCTCACAACTGCTGTTCACTCCACGACTTATTTTGTCCTCTTTCGGATATCGTGTCTTAATCCAACCACATGGTCGGTGCTCTAAAACTGAACTTTGTACTTCTAACCGCTATGTCAAACGTTGCTCGGGGAGCTCAATGACCCAGGGCGTCAGCCGTCTGCCACCACATCCGTGCTTCCACTCTCAACCTAGTCTGTTTTTACCTGAAGAGCTTAAATGCGGACAAAACCGGTCGGTCGTGGATTGTACTGTTGGGAGCAAAACTATTCTACCCATTTTTCATCCATTCTATGGGCCTTCCAGGGACGCCGCGGATTTTTGAATCATCTTGTGCTGGATGCTATTTTTGCTACGGATTACTGTGTTTTCTGTGTGAATTGTGCATCAATATTCTCCTTTTGGTGTGTTTTCCCATCGGCGCACATTTACTGGATATTCTTTGGCTAATTCCGGAGATCTCATTGCTTAGCCCAACTGCCATCTGTGTCCACCATTTTGGATTTGTTCTACCTTGTGATGCCGTTTCAAGCTACTTGTGGTTCGTGTTGTAAAGTCGTCGGACATAATTCTCATGCACTTCGGCTGCGATGTTCTGTTCCATATTTCGTGCATTGGTTTACCCGTTGACGTGTTTCGAAAATCTCTTGACATCCGATATCGGTTTTTTAAGTTATATGTACTAAATGTCGCGGTGCAAGACTTCAGAATACGCAGCTACCGCCAACGACTACGAAAAAAAACCTCTCTTCCGGGCAGAAACAAACCTTTCAGCACGTGGGATCAAACGCCCTCATGAAAGTACTGTCACCTCGTCTTCCCTCGCCACTCCGCGATCTGCACCACCACCAGCGTCTTCGACCCGGGCCGAGCCTCAGGTTCAATGTTCCTCACCGATTGAAGACAGACTGAACCTACGAAGCACCGCTTCACTGATCGGCCTGTGATTTTCTTAGAGCCTGTCTGTGAACCCCTGAACACCTAGGATCCATGGACCACTCAAAAATGCATTGGGCCACGTAATCGAGTTCAGGTGTCCCATGCTAATAAACAATAACCCAAACCGATAAGCGCCTCCAGTCCTGCTCCCACAGGTCCATCACCGATTTCTCTGAGGCCACATAATCTCATTGTCTTCCACATACCAAAGATGAAAACCCTCAGATACGGTATGATCATGATGTTGAGTTCCTCCAGGGGCTCGTCGATAGACTCTTGGATGTGGGTGAAGACAGGGTGACGATTAAACATGTAGTCCGACTTGGCCAGGAAACTAACCAGTCATGTCGACCTCTGAGATTCAACTTTGCAGATCACGATATGCAGCTCATATTATCTCGTCTGTCCAGGCTGAAAGGCATAAGTGTTCACATTCGTCGAGACTTGGACCGTAAAGACAGGAATCGTTTGAAGACAGCGGTCATTGAGCTCAAATGCCGTACTGAAGAAGGTGAGACTGACTTACAAATTGTAAATTTTCGCGTGAACGAGTAGGGTGTATGAACCCTACTCAACCTGCTCAACCTCCAGGCACATCCTGCGGTACCTCCCAGAACCTCCATGTTGCATTCGCCAACGTGTGGAGCCTAATGAGCAAACGTGACGAACTGTGCCGCTTCGATGTCTCGGAGCGGCCGGACGTTTTGGGACTTGCAGAGACTTGGCTGAACTCCGACGTCATACCCCAAGAAGTCGCATTGTCAGGTTACTCTTGTTTCCGATGCGACCGAAAATCAAAGACTCACGGTGGTGTTCTGTTGTACATAAAATCCTCACTATCTGGCAAACTTGACAGCACCTAGGGGAGCGAGGATAACTTACGCGAGCAAGTGTGGTTCACAATCCGCCTCAGGCACGCAGAACTAATAGTGTTATATACCGTAGCCCATTAAACCGTTGTTGCGATTGGCTACCACATATACAGAAGCACACAAGCCGCCTTCATTTCTTATTGATGGGGTATTTAAATTTCTGGCCAGACGTTCGACTTCTCCTCGATCATGGCGACGTTGAGGCTTAATTCGCTAAAATGACTTTTTAAATCGCGGCAACTCAACATGTCATCTAATCGACGCACGTAACTCCGTACTTGGCATCATGTCTGGACCTAATGTTTACAATCTGCGAGCAGAAGCTGATCAGAGTCCTCGAACTTCTGGCGAAGAGGGACCACTGCTCCATTGTGGCAAACCTTGAGCTGCCGTTACCGTATTACAACCAACAGAATCCGACGTTTAACTATTGGAAGACGGACTTCAACCGGCTCATGCAAACCGCAAGTCAGACTTATTGCACAAGGCCATAGGATGCGTTGCTTGAGGCTTGTTGATCATTAATGAAGGGGAAGCTTAACTCGCTGTTTACTGTTTTTCGTTCGCATGAAGTATCCAAAAGTCGGACCAGTCAATCCGCATTGGTTTGATACGGAATATATACAGCGCGACGACGTCGCAAACTTTGGGATAGATACATCAGCTCGGGTTGTGATGAAGATTACACGGTGTGCAAAAAACAGCGTAACTTATGTAACGCCGCAAAAATGAAGAAAGGCCGACAGTTCGAAGAGGAAGTAGCATCCTCGGCCACAACCGCCCCCAAGGGAATATTTGCCTGCTTGAAACAACTGAAGCTTGAGGGCGACCTACAGGTCTTAGAGTGCTTGGACGGACAGGCTCATTTCAAGCGCGGAGCGCGCGGACGTCTTGGCTGCGCACTTTCTCACCGTATTTTCCAGTAAACTGGCGGTTGTTCCATTGCCGAAACAGGTTGCGCCAGTCTTTCTCGACAGCTTACAATGTGATGCAGTCGACATGTATCAACTACTCGTCAACCTCGATGGTGCAAAGCCCCCCGGATCAGACAGGTTTCACCCCCTAATACTCAAGTCTCTATCGAATGTCATCTCACCAGCCGCGACAAACCTATTCAATAAATCACTCTCTGAAGCATCTGTCCCCAACGACTGGAAATGCTCGATAGTGCGACCGCTTCCCAAGGGTGGTGATTCGAGTAAATTAGAGAACTATAGACCGATCCGTTAGACTTCGATATTATCCAACGCTCTCAAGTAGGTAGTGAAAAAGTGTCTACTGTCGTTCATCCAATCGATAGACGTATTGACACCAGCACAACATAACTTTACGAAGTGACCCTGCATCACCAACTTAATGTACCTAAACTACCAGTGGATACGAGCTCTCAACGAACGGAAGGATGTTGACGTGGTGTACATCGACTTTAGTAAGGCGTTTGCTGAGTGAACCACGAGGTACTCCTTCGTAAACTGAAGACCTAAGTAATCGGTGGCACGCTACTTCAGTGGTTACACGAGTTTATTGCGGGACAAAGTTTAGAGTCTATGTCAATGACTACCTGACGGACTACTTCCTATTGATCAGTGGCGTTCCTCAAGGATCTACACTTGGGCCAGTATTGTTCTTTTCGTATCAACGATCCGCAACAGCTCCGGTCACTGTGTGCCCTGTTTGCAGATGATATGGAAATTTGGAGGATCATTGAGAACCAGGACGACTGCGCTCGCCTCCAGCATGACTTAGAGCGACTGTGAATTTGGTCCACTGAAATGCAACTCCTTCTTAACGCCAGCAAGTCGCAGTTCATCAGTATCACTAGACGTCTAGCCACTCGATCATACGCCTTGGACGGTCAGGTGCTCCAACCTAACACATCTGTCAGAGACTTAGGAGTTCTCTCGCGACATGATATGAGATCACTAGCAAATACAGAGAAATTGTACCGTGTGCGACTTCGTATACTCTGGGCATTAAGACGCAGTTTCTCCACATGGTCCGAAGAAACCGTCCCTCGCCTATTCATCTCGCTCATTAGACCAATCCTTGAATACGGCGCCCCAGTTTACCACCTGATAACCCAGTGGGAAACAGAAAAGTTGGAGAAAATACAGCATATTACAACTAGGTTGATATTCAGTCTACGAAAGCTGCCGTATGAAAATGTTGTGAAAGTCTCGGCCTCTACATACTATCCTACCGCTGAGTAAGCCTTGACCTTATTAGGACCCATTGAGTGCTACACTTGAATTACTTCCCATATTGTCGCCAGTAGTTCACCTGCGGGAACCCTATAACACCCCAGGACACCGTTCCAAACTCAGGGTCCCATGCATGAACGAGGTATCACATCAGCTTTGTATGGAGCGAAAAATCGTAAACGCATGGAATACACTACCAGAAGGATTAACAGAGGCCGATTCT